ATGTGTCTGGTAAAGGAGGTTTGGTAAAGCTATATTCCCTGCCGGGGTCACGGGTACGCCCGGTGTTAAGCGCATCATGCTACTTGGAGCTTTGCCCGGATATCCCGGGTGGCTTACTGGTAAAAGGGGACAGATCGGTGCTGTCACGATTCAATTCCCGCAGGTGTTTGACAATGTTGGGTTTGGATCCCGGGCACTTTGGGACCCATTCTTCCCAGGTGATGGCGGTAACAGAGGCACCCCACCTGGCTTTAAGTGAGGACCTAGGGAAACGTTTAGGCAGGTGGGAGTCAGTACGGTTTAAGTCCTGTTTCAGGCCAGTCTATTTGGTTTAATGGCTATGGACGTATGGGTTTGTGTTTGGGGCTATGCCGTGTCGCTAATTACTTTCGTTTCAGGTTTGGTGACATGGTTGGTGGGTCATTCTTATATCTAAGGGGCACAGATGGGAGCCGCGTTTCAGTTCAAACGTAACTGGGCTTTCCTTTGAAATTGGTGGAGCAGGAGTGGTTTTGTTTCAGGGATTTTGGTGGCAAGACATTAGGGGAGAAATTTTTCCGGGAGGTAACAAAGGGTACTTTCCAGGACATTCTGGATATTGGCATGGTCCCGGAAAAGGAATTGATCAGGTGGAGGCAGAGGGAGGTGGACCAGCTATGGGAGCGGTCCGAGATGGTTCCTTGGTTACATTGGAGACATACTACGTACCCGGCCGTGGTAGCTCGGTGTCGAGGACGACGTAATAAAAAATTGATGGCAGTATTTATCAGAGGTGGGGGCGGTGTAACAGTGAGACACAACGAATTGGGAAGAAAGCTCCCTGGGTACTCCAGGTGGGATGGGGTACATTTTCGGATGTAAGGTGTGATCTGTTTAAATTGGGCCTTCAGGAAAGCATTCAACAGGCCTTATTCCGGTGTGGTGGGGGTCGCTCAGGAGCTTTAGGTGTCAAGTCCTGAGCTGTGGCGGGGAATGGCCTGGTTAAATCGGAGGGTAGATGGAGGAGAAAGTGGGCATCCTGAGGTTTAGTGTGGATTGGGCAGTGTTGCACGTGGTTGGTAGGTTCGAGCCCGTCGGTGGCTCCGAACCTGGGGGTGTGGTGGTGTCTTGGCACACCCTACACTGGAACTGGTGGGTAGCGGTGTCTTGGTACACCCCTACAATGGATATGGTGGGTAGCGGTGTCTTGGTACACCCCTACAATGGATATGGTGGGTAGCGGTGTCTCTGTACACCCCTACAATTTAACCTGGTGGAAATGTGGTCAAATTGGACGGCCAGTTTCTGTGTTAACATGTTATTTATATTGTTATCTATTGTTATTATTGTGGGGTCATTGCTAGGGGTATGTTATGTATATGGGGGAGGTTAACATTATTAAGATTTGTTGGCAATGACCCCATTTGTTATTCCTTAATTATTTATTAATAATTTAATAAAGCTGTGGACAAATTATTTCCAACAGTATAACCTGTGTCCGTGTTTTAATGGGGGTTGGGGTAAGGTTAGCGCATATGCCGGCAAATCCGACTGTGCGCCTGTCATGTTTTTGAAGAAACTTTTGTAAAGTTTGAATTCAGAGGGGCAAGAAAAAGTGACGTTCTGTGTTTTGTATTGAAGTGAATATATTACATACAGAGGGATTTATGTAAACTGTAGTAAAGTGGAAACCAAACTGCTAAATTTAATCTAACATAGTCAAACTGTAACTCAGTATGATTTAGAGATTTTTTTAAATGTGTCTCTCTTTGCCTAAATGTTGAAATTTACTTTTCAATCCACTGCAATTCAATCTGTAATAGTTTGTCTTAGTCGTGAAAATCCCTGTTATTAATATTATGAAAGAGGGACACTTTAATTTTAGGGGTGTGAGTGGGGTGTGTGGCCAGAGGCGGGGATGAGCAGTTTTAGGTGTTCTAATAACAATTTATAGAACTAAAAATGTAATTTAGAACAAGAGCAATGTGTCTTACACAGATTGATTTCTAAACACATTTATTGCAGTTTAAATACACATTACTGGGAGTATTATGGCTGTGGAGCTCTGTTATACACTCAGACACATTACTGGGAGTATTATTGCCGTGAAGCTCTGTTATACCCTCAGACACATTACTGGGAGTATTATTGCCGTGGAGCTCTGTTATACCCTCAGACACATTACTGGGAGTATTATTGCTGTGGAGCTCTGTTATACACTCAGACACATTACTGGGAGTATTATCGCTGTGGAGCTCTGTTATACACTCAGACACATTACTGGGAGTATTATTGCTGTGGAGCTCTGTTATACACTCAGACACATTACTGGGAGTATTATTGCTGTGGAGCTCTGTTATACACTCAGACACATTATTGGGAGTATTATTGCTGTGGAGCTCTGTTATACACTCAGACACATTATTGGGAGTATTATTGCTGTGGAGCTCTGTTATACACTCAGACACATTATTGGGAGTATTATTGCTGTGGAGTTCTGTTACACACTCAGACACATTACTGGGAGTATTATTGCTGTGGAGCTCTGTTATACACTCAGACACATTACTGGGAGTATTATTACTGTGGAGCTCTGTTATACACTCAATCACATTACTGGGAGTATTATTGCTGTGGAGCTCTGTTAAACACTCAGACACATTACTGGGAGTATTATTGCTGTGGAGCTCTGTTATACACTCAATCACATTACTGGGAGTATTATTGCTGTGGAGCTCTGTTATACACTCAGACACATTACTGGGAGTATTATTACTGTGGAGCTCTGTTATACACTCAATCACATTACTGGGAGTATTATTGCTGTGGAGCTCTGTTATACACTCAGACACATTACTGGGAGTATTATTGCTGTGGAGCTCTGTTATACTCTCAGACACATTACTGGGAGCATTATTACTGCGGAGCTCTGTTATACACTCAGACAAATTACTGGGAGTATTATTGCTGTGGAGCTCTGTTATACACTCAGACACATTACTGGGAGTATTATTGCTGTGGAGCCCTGTTATACACTCAGACACATTACTGGGAGTATTATTGCTGTGGAGCTCTGTTATACACTCAGACACATTACTGGGAGTATTATTGCTGTGGAGCTCTGTTATACACTCAGACACATTACTGGGAGTATTATTGCTGTGGGGCTCTGTTATACACTGACACATTACTGGGAGTATTATTGCTGTGGAGCTCTGTTATACACTCAGACACATTACTGGGAGTATTATTGCTGTGGAGCTCTGTTAAACACAGACACATTACTGGGAGTATTATTGCTGTGGAGCTCTGTTATACACTCAGACACATTACTGGGAGTATTATTGCTGTGGAGCTCTGTTATACACTCAGACACATTACTGGGAGTATTATTGCTGTAGCTCTGTTATACACTCAGACACATTACTGGGAGTATTATTGCTGTGGAGCTCTGTTATACACTCAGACACAGTACTGGGAGTATTATTGCTGTAGCTCTGTTATACACTCAGACACATTACTGGGAGTATTATTGCTGTGGAACTCTGTTATACACTCAGACACATTACTGGGAGTATTATTGCTGTGTGGCTCTGTTATACACTAAGACACATTACTGGGAGTATTATTGCTGTGGAACTCTGTTATACACTCAGACACATTACTGGGAGTATTATTGCTGTGGACTCCTGTTATACCTCAGGACACATTACTGGGAGTATTATCGCTGTGGGCTCTGTTACATACCCTCAGATACATTACTGGGGAGTCATTATTACTGGTAGACTCTGTTATACACTCCAGATACATTACTGGAATATTATCATGTGGAGCTCTGTTTATACATCAGACACACATTACTTCAGGTATTATGGCTGTGGGCTCTGTTATACCTCAGACACATTACTGGGGTATTGTGCTGTGAGTCTGTTATGATCTCATGAACTTTTTAATTCCACCAGGAGTATTAGTACCAGTATTGGGCTCTGTTATACACTCAGACACATTACTGGGAGTATTATTGCTGTGGAGCTCTGTTATACACTCAGACACATTACTGGGAGTATTATTGCTGTGGGACTCTGTTATACACTCAGACACATTACTGGGAGTATTATTGCTGTGGAGCTCTGTTATACACTCAGACACATTACTGGGAGTATTATTGCTGTGGATCTCTGTTATACACTCAGACACATTACTGGGAGTATTATTGCTGTGGAGCTCTGTTATACATTCGGACACATTACTGGAAGTATTATTGCTGTGGAGCTCTGTTATACACTCAGACA